CTTAACCAGAAAAGGGACTAAAGCAATGACAAAAAATATAAGATGGATCATTTTGATTACATGAAACTGAAAAGCTTTTGCATGAATAAAATCATCTGCTGTTTCTAAACTACATACTCTATGAATTTAATTGCTGGGAAAAGCAGACATTCTAGAAATAACAGGAGGTCCAACAAGGCCAGGTGAATGAATGAATACCTGAGTGCTAAGGGAATGCTGGGAAGAAAGGCTGTTTTCCCTGGCTAGAGAAGCAATAATCAGAGAATTGAAAAACAAACAAAAACCACCACATTGCAAGGGCTGCAGCTTTGTGGTTCAGACTTTAAATACTCTATGAGTTCAGAAAAGGGCCCTATAACATGGGATCAAGGAACTAGGAAAATCTTCAGATGACCCCAGAATATGGAAGGCATTCCAACCAGAGACTGCAGCATGAGCAAAGACTTAAAGACTTGTTCTGGAGGGCTGGCTGAACTTGATAACTTCTAACGTCTCTAAACTCAAAATTCTATGACTGCTGGTGAGTTAATCTACTTAGTTTAGAACATTGCTCTGAGCTGAACTTGACCAGCCAGTGAGTCACTGTGAACTTGCCTAAAGAAAAGCTTGCATGCTCTCCACATCCAGAGAGAACCTATAACTCTGAGTACAGATTGAGGTAGACTTTTTGCACTTTCTTTATGATTCTTGTTTTTTTATTTTTTGCAACATGGCTAATGTGGAAATATTTTACATGACTTCACATGCATAACTGATACATTACTTGTCTTTTTAGTGGGTGGGAGGAAATGGCAGGAGGAAGTGAGAGAATTTGGAACTCAAAATTTATCCAAAAAGTGTAAAAATAAATAAAATATTTAAAAAAAGTTTGCTCCAGACCATAGTCCATTTGCTCCAAATATCATACTGCCTCACTCATGACCATCCTTCTCACTCTAACTTCCTTGCTTTCCATCTTTTGCTCTGAGAACAGTAATAAAATCAGTATTAGGGGTATAGACAGTTGACTCGCATTATGGCCCCATTCATCATTCCTGTGGCTCCCCTCACCATAATACCCTTCCCTGGCCATTGTTCCCCTATTTGCACTGTTTCCCCTTATTATATATAGTGTGATTTTCTTGAGAGCAGAGACTCTTGCTTTTGCTTTTATCTCCCTAAAGCCTAACATAGTACTACATACAGAGTGGGATGTGCTTTTTTTATTCATTTATTCATTTAAGTACCAGGTTGGGACATTAAGATTTAGTACTAAAGAGAAGAGAAAACCATTGTAGATCCTTGAGATGAAAAGTGACATGATTTCAACAGTATGTTAGGAGGTTTTAATATACAAAAATGAATAGGAAAGGGAAAGACAGAAGGAACAATGCAAAATTGGAGACTCTTCTAATAGTTTAGGAGTGAGAAGAGGAGAGGCTAGAATAGGCAGGTGCTAGTAGGTGTGGTAGGGGCAACTTGGTGGGCCTGGAGCCAGAAAGACCTGGGTTCAAATTCAGCCTCAGACACTCACTTAGATGTGTGACCCTGGGCAAGTAACTTAACATGTTTGCCTTAATCCACTAGAGAAGGAAATGGCAAACCACTCCAGTATCTTTGCTGAGAAAACTCCATGGACAGCACAGGCTTGCTATGGTCCATGGGGTCATGAAGATCTGGCATGATTGAATGACTGAACAACAGCAGTAGGGTTATAAGGGAAGAAATCTGAGAGATAATTCAAGGGTAGAATTAACAGGACTTGGCAGAAAGAAATAACTCTTATCATTTCTGCACTTCTCAAGCCACTGACAGGCTTGTCTCTGGATTGGCCACCAGAACTTAGATAACAGTCCTGTTTCTGCCAATAACTCACTGCATGATCTTGGACAAGTAGCTTCCCTTTTCAAGTTCAGAGTTCCTTCATCATAAAAGGAAGGATGGTGTACTAGATGGCCCCTGTGGTCCTTTCCACCTTTAACATTGTCTGCCATCTTATTATAACAATGACAGATGTGTGAATCTGTAGACTGAGTTCAAGTCAAGTCAGTAAGCATTTATTAAACACCTACTATATTCCAGGGATTGTATTAAGTGCTGGGGATTTTTTTAAAAAGAGAAAAAAAAGAGTCCTTGATTTCAAGAAACTCACAGTCTAATGGGAGAAACAACATACAACCATGTACAAACAAGATACATAGAAGAAACAGGAGAAAATATCAGAGGAAAGGCACTAAGATTAAGGAGAACTGGGAAAGGCTTCCTATAGAAGGTAGTAAGACTTTAGCTGAGATCTGAAGGAAGCCAAGGAAGCAAAGAAGGGGAGATGAGAAGGGGGAGAGTTCCATGCAGGGAGCACAGCCAAAGAAATGCCTGCATTCAGGAGATGGGATTAGAAAACCTTCTTCAAGATAGAGGGTATATCTATCCAAAGACCAATCTGTTGCTTCCATCAAAGGAAAAGAGGGACTCTGATTCCTTTTCCCATTTCATCTGAATTCAGCCCTTTAATTAAAGCCCTCCTCTGAAGCTCTTCTGCTCGCCCTTTACTTTCAGAGAAATTGGTGCCAAGCTCCCAGAGATTCTCAGAAACCCCAAAATCATTAGTCACAACAAAGAGCATATCCTGTGATGAGGAACTGAATTTAAGGTAATAACTCATTGTAAATGGGTTACTATAAGCAACTGTGACTATTTTAAAACATGTGCTGTGGAGGGCAGGCTTATTCCATCTCTGTGAAACGTGTTCATTCTCCATTCCCCGTATTTCTTCACAAGTTTATGACTTTCTTTTAATCACGCCTTTAAATCCGATGGTGCTTTTTTTGCTCCTCCTTTTTAAACACTGCATACACAATGCCTCAGGAATCTTAAGGCTCCAGTGAATCAGCAGTTTCCTAGAGGGAGGCAGACGAGACCAGCTTCTCAAGGATTCTTGTCACCCTCTCACTCTATGCCTCCAGGACAAGGCAATGCAGCAAGCAATAATTTCCAAGTGCCAAAGAGGGAACCCCACAAAGTCTTTCCCACTTATTTCTTGCTATGAGGTAATTCCATCCTATAAACCTTCTGTTCCCAAATAGCTACAAATCCTACCAAGTCATTCCTGAATTTTCACCTTCCAACCCCCACTCCTGTCCCCATCTCATCACTCTAAGACCAGGAAAAAGTTCATCACTGGCCTTCCATCCATGTGACTGGCCTTTGGAACTAAGAGGGGCAGACCTGGGGTAAAATGGCAACCAGGACTTACAGGTCACTCTTCTGGCTCACTGTTCTAGTAGATAGGGTTCAGGGTAAAAGTAATAAGGCAAAAAAAAAAAATAAAAGTAATAGGGCAGGAGAGTATGTTGTAATGGCAAAAAGTACTGTTTCTGAAATCAGAGGCACTGGGTTCAAACTGTGGCACAGCCACATATTACTTATGTGACATGAAGTAAGTCACCTAAGTTCTCTGGAAAAGAGCTTTGATCCTAGGATCAAAGAACCTGGGTTCAAATCCTATCTTTCATAGTACCTATGTGACCTCAGACGAGTTATATCCCCTTCTTGGGCCTCAGTTTCATCATCTATAAAATGAAAGACATCTAATGTCCCTTCTATCTCTAAGTTTGTGGTTCCTATGACTAGACGATTCCTGTGGTTTGTAAGGTTTCTTCCAAATATTTTAATACTCTGAAAGGGGGTAGGGCAAGGACCAAGGGTTAATCAATACATAGGAAATAGGAAAGCAGCAATGAGCCAGCAAATGTTTAACAACTGGATCTCCAGGGGAAAAAAAGTATGCATAGTAACATACTTATACATTTAACTGCATTATTAATATTTTCTCCATCACTTTCTTAAGTTCCAAATTTTTTTCTCTCTCCCCAAGAAGGCAAGTAATCTGATATAGGTTATACATGTACAATTATACTAAATATATTTCTACTGTAGTTATATTGTGAAAGAAAAACATCACTTTCTTAAGTCTAAGCAATCAACAAAACAGTAAATCAAGTCCTGATTTGTAACATTTGCCAATTTCTGAGGTTCTATCAGGGATGGGGAACCTGTGGCCTCGAGGCCACACGCGGCCCTCTAGGTCCTCAAGTAGCGACCCTTTGAATCCAAACTTCACAGAACACATCCCCTTAACAAAAGGATTTGCTCTGTAAAACCTAGACTCAGGCAAAAGGCCACATAAGGCTGCAGGTTCCCCAATCCTGGTAGGATACGGGTCCCTGCCTTCACAGAGCTTACATTTTCAGAAACGATGTGACTCTGGATTTAACAGTCTAACCACTATGCAACCCAGCTGCCTCAATGTCTGTATCACACATCTGACTTCAAGGAAGCTACAATCACAGATCTGGAGTCGGAAGGATCTTTAGAAGCCATCTAGTGCAAGCCACTACTCAATGTGTAAACCTCTCTCTTTTTTTTAATAGATATCTACTTGTTTTTTTTTCCTTTTTCGGTATTTAATATTTTATTTCCCCCAATTGCATGTAAAAACAATTTTAACATTCATTTTTTAAAATTTCAAGTTTCAAATTCTCTCCCGCCCTCCCCTCCCCACTCATTGAGAAGGAAAGCAATTTGATTTTGGTTATAAATGCGCACTCAATATGCATAATACTCTCACAGAGTCACTTTAAAAGCTTATTAACAGTATGAGACAATCAATGATGAGTAAGCAGAAAGGCCAACTGTATTAGACAAGGAAGTCAAAAGGTCCAGTTTTATTTCTAGTCCTGGACCTTCTGCAAACAAACTCCATGACATGGGTAAATCACCCACCCTTCTGGAGTCTCAGTTGCCTCATCTGTAAAATTTCCAAAGGCCCCTTCTGCCTCACGTTCTGTGAATGCTGGGAAGGAAGGAATGCGTGGGGAAGAGGGGTGGTCAGTGAAGCCTTCGCTGGTCTGGTGAGACGTCTCCCAAGAGAACCATCCTCAGCAGCTGGTCCACTCAGGAGTATGTAGAAACTACTAGACTCAGAGCAGATGCTAACCCAAGCAAAAGAGACTTCTTCTTACCTGTTGGGAGGGGCCTCTCCCTTGGGATGACGAACAACTGCCATCCAATTGGTCATTGCAATCCACAGGCCACTGTGAGGGGGAGAAAACGGGATCCAGGTCACACAACAGCCCTATCCACTCATAATATTCAGACTATCTATATCCATAAGATCACGTTTTGCCTTCACATCTTCATTTGGACATTACAACTAGAAACCCTTCCTCACCAGATGTTTCTTTCAAGGAAAAACAACTCGATCTTCTAAGTATGTGTCATCTATCTCCCACCAAGTGTTTAATTCCAGATTTCCTCATCATGGCCTCATTAATGGGCCACCTCCAAGCAGCATGTATTCAATGAACGAATAAACTACATTTGTGTCTCTGGCCTGATTTTATTGTTGTAGACAAGTCCTGGTGTGGAAACTCTTTCCACTGATGACTTGTCTACACAGTCATATGGAAGTTGCCTGAGGCAAATAAGATTTGGCCAGGGTCACATCGAACTGGCTCCCTACTAAGAAACCCATGCAGGATTTGGGGGCCCATGTAGAAAATCTCCCCCAACAAGAAGCAGCAGAGTGAAGACAGCATCCTTCGAAACAATCTAGGAGAGGTAGAAGAAAACTTGCTTTCTGTCTCAACAGGAATCCATTCCTTTCTGTCCAGCACCAAAGGTAAGAGAGGTTCTGGGATAGTCAGCATAAATTATAACATCAGAAAACCCTCACTAGGTAGGCAAATGGGTTTCTGAATTAACTGTATCCTTGCCAGTCTGAAAGATTTTGGCTCTTCACATCTAAAAGGGATGTGGAGAGAAGAGGTATCCTCTTGGATTATGCTGAATAGTGACCATTCTGTCATACAGATTTCTGATGCCCCATCATGGAATAGTGCCCCTGGATTCTCAAAGGCCATGCTGAAAAAAACACAGGCCCAGGGAGATCCTAGCAAGTTGGAAAGGTTTCAGGTACACATGAGTCAAGACAAGCCCAGCTTAGTTCAAAGAGGCTCATCATCAAAAGGTGAAGATTTTTTTCTGGCTCCAGCCATTTATGAAACCATCTGCTAAGGTGTAATTAGTAAAGGAAGGACCCTAGAGATGGAATTGTGCCTTTTCTGAGGCAATAAAATAAACGATCACTCCTGCTAATGTTGCTGACACCAACTCTCACTTCAAGCTTGCATATATGCATATACAATTCAGAAGAGACCTCAACCCCTGTCAACCAGCTTACAGAGGCATGGCATTGTTGGTCACGAGGGTGATGGACAAACTAAAAGTTTTTAGGATAATTTGGAGGTAATCTCAGAGGGAAGGCACTGTTAAGGAGGATCAGGAAAGGCTTCTTGTAGAAGGTGGGATTTGGGCTGAAACTTGAAGGAAGCCAGGGGAGCTAGGAGATGTAAACAAAAGAAAACTGAAAGCATGAGAGAGCCAGTGAAAGTGCCCCAAATCAGGGGATTCAAGGAACAACAAGAAAGTCAGTGTCACTGGATCACAGAATAAATATATAGAGGAAAGGAAGGTATAAGAAGGAAGAAAAGGTTGGAAGGGGCCAGGTTGTGAAGAGCTTTAAAAGCCAAACAGAGAATTTTATATTTGATCCTGGAGGCAACTGAGAACCACCGGAGTTTATTAAACAGAAGTTTGACATGGTCAGGCATTCACTTTAGGAAGATCAATTTCACAGATCAGTGGAGACTGGACTGGAGTGGGGAAACTTGAAGCAGGGAGACCAACCAGAAGGCTACTGCAATAGTCCAGGCATGAGCTGTGAGGGCCTGAAGCAGGGTGGTAGCAGTGTCAGAGGAGAGAAAGAGGCATAGGGATGGATAGAGGGATGGATAGATGGATGGATAGATACATACATAGATACATACATACATACATACATACATACATACATACACAGATACATAGATACAGATGGACATAGAGATACATATATAGATATCTCAAAGGTAGAAATGACAAAACTTGCCAATGGATTGGATATGGGGGCTGAGAAAGAATGAGGAGTCAAGGACCATACCTAGGTTACAGACCTCGGAGACTTAGAGGATAATGGTTCTCTAACAATAATAAAGAAGTTAAGAAGGGAAGGTCATAGGAAAAGTTAATGACTTCAGCTTTGGATATGCTGAGTTTCCTAAAATGGAATCAGGAGATCTGGATTCAAATCCCATCTCTGCAATGAGCTGTATGACCCAGGCAGATCATTAGACTTTGCTGGGCCTTGGTTTCCTTATCTGCAAAATGGGGATAAGGATTGCTGTGAGAAAAATGCTTTGTAAATTTTAACACACTATAGAAATATGAGCTATTAGTAGTAGTAAGAACAGATCTTACAGTTATATAATATTTTGTAGCTAGAAAGTAATGTTATATATATTTGTTGACCAGTCAATTAAAATCTAGGAGTTTAAGCTCAACTATAGCACTGTGTGTTACAAAGAAACCCTAAGGAACATTTTTCTCCCATAAGAAATAAATGATTTGAAGTCAGCCAAAACTGTTGAAATCTGGGGGAGGAGTGCCTAGATTGCAGTTTTGTCTGAGGAAGGTCTGGGGTTTTAGTGTCCTGCAAAGCCAATATAAGTCATCGACATGCTAAGGCACCCAAAAGAGCTAATAAAATCTTAGGATTCATTAAAAAAAGCATATTGTCTAGGCCTAGGGAGGTAAGAATCCCATTGCATTCTGCCCTAGTCAGATTTCATCTGTTCAGTTCTGAACATCAAATTTTAACTGGTAAGCTGGAGAATGCCCAAAGAAGATTAAATAGGATAGGAAACAACCTGGAGTCTATACCATCTGAGGACAGGGTAAAGAAGGAATAGAGGATGTTTAGCAGGGCAAAAATAAGGGACAGGGAATGAGAGGTATAGTCAGATAACTGAAGGGCTACGAGATGTCAGAGTGATTAGATTTGTTGTGCTCATGGTCAGTCAGGACTAAGGTGGAAGGTGAAAATGTAAGGCTTAATAGAAGGGAAAAAAATCCTTCAATTCCAACAATTAGAGCTACTCAAAAGTGCAATGGGCTGCCTCCGTCGGTTCTGGGTTTCATCATTTCATTGAAGATCTTCAACTGGGACCCACCTCTTAACAGACAGATGATGGATTCAAGATGCAGGATGAGACAGAAATTTTGGACATGTATAATATGGGAATTTAACTGTGCACATTTGTTACAAAGGCTTTTTTTTTTCCCAATGGGGGTGGTTTGGCGAGTGCAAGGGGAGACAGAATATAGTAGGAATAAAAAGAAAAACGGAAGTTGAGGCTGCTAAGGAACCTTAAGGGGTCCCTTGAACTTGTTCTTTTTGAGTTGCCATATTTTCCAGAAACACTAGACCTGGAGTATTCAGGAGGCTCTGAATCAAGAACAAAGCCTCCCCTTCCCCCCCTCCCCCAATATAATTTGACAAGACAAACAAAGATTGAGTAACTTGCCCAGTACCACACAGCTAGTATCTAAGGTCAAACTCGAAATCAGGTCTTCCTGACTTCAGGTCCAACATTTTATCCACTGTGCCACCTAGCAGCCTACCAAAAGAACAAAAATAAAAAGTTACGTGGACATAAAAAAGACCTGCAATTTTGTGTAATAACCCTTTTTTCCTGTTCTACTATGTACAGGCAAATGCCCATTCCAATGAATGTTTATTAAATGCAGAATAAAAATAACAATTTAATTTTAAAAATCTTTAGGCAGAGGCAGGATGACCTTTGTCTGGTACGATGGAGAGGGAATTCCTTCTTTCCTTGAGGAAGAAAGAGGTTATTTGTTGAACCTGACCTCTGGGAGCCCTTCCAACCCTCAAATTCTGTGAAATTATAGAACATCCATAAAGAAAAAATGTCTGATGGTCTCTCTAAAAAGACCATGCTGGAAAATCACCAAGCTTTGTGTTGGAGAGACAGGGAATGGGAAAATTCCCCTCATTTATCTCTGGAGCTGGACTGGATTAAACTCACACATTAAGCAGAAAGATACATTCTCAAATCAAAAAATCTACTGTATGTGTGTTCTCTATTCACCTCAGGGATCTATTTCTCTCCTAGAAGTGTTCAAAATCACTTTCCTTTCTGCATTCTCTCTCTTCTGGTGTTTCAAATTTTGCCTCATGTTCTGAATTACATCTTTGGCTACTGAAAAAACCAGTAGATTGTGATTGCTAAGGTACTGTCAGTAATCCTTGAAGAATTGTGGAGAGTAGGAGATGTCCTGAAAGAATGGGGAAAGTCAAAATATTTTCCTGATTTTCAAAATAAAGGAAGAAAACAGAGATGGAAAACTCTAACTTGTATTTCTGGCAAAATTCTAGAATGGATTATATTTAAAAGATAGTTCCAGAATGTGTAGAAAAGGAAACAATGATCTCCGAGAGGCTTCAGGGCTTCAGTAAGAACAGGACATACCAAATTAAACCTATTTCCTTTTCTGACAGGGTTTCCAAACTGGTAGATCAAAGAAATGTTTTTGTTCCAGATGGCAGAAATAGGACGAGGAATAGACAGAAACTGCAAAAAGTCTTGATGTGAGGAAAAACTTTTTAATAATGAGAACTACTTAAAATTGTAATGAGATGCCTTTGGAAATAGTACATTCCTGCTCTCTAGTCACTCAACTGGTAGATCAAAGAAATGCTAGAGATAAAGTTAATCTAAAGCATTTCAGTAAAGTATTTGACAAAATTTCTCATGCAATTCTTGAGGAAAAGATAGAGGGATGGAGACTAAAGGACATTACAATTAAATGGCTTTGGTCAAATAACCAGACCCAAAGAGTGGTCATGAAGGGTTTAATATCATTTTGGAAGGAAGTCTCTGGTGGATTGCCCTGGAGGAACAGTTCCTGGTCCAGTACTATTAAAAGAATTTTTTTTTAAATCAACGGACCTGGATGAAACCATAGATGGCATGCTGATCAAATGTTAAGAGGACTCAAAACCAAGAGAACTGACACACTGGATGACAGAGTCAGGATCCAAAAAATATCCTAACAGGCTGAAACATGGGACGGAATCTAGTAAGAAAATCAATAGGTACAACTTTGAAGTCTTATCCTGAGGCCCCAAAAATCAACCTTACAGGCACAAGATGAAGAAAGCAAAGTTAGAAAGTGGCTTGTTTCAGAAAGTTCAGGGGGTTTTAGTGGATTAGCATGAGTCAACAGTGTGACGTAGCATGCAAACATCCTACTGCGATCTTAAGCAGCATTATGATTAACAGCTGGAGAAGGCAATGGCAGAACACTCCAGCAGCTTTGCCAAGAAAAACCCAAATAGGGTCACGAAGAGTCAGACATGACTGAAAATGGTTGAACAACAACAACAAATTATTAATAGCATTTATACAGTGCCTACTATGTGCCAGGCACTGTACTAAGCACTTTACAAATATTATCTCACTTGATCCTCACAGCTGTGGGAAGTAGGTGCTATTGTTATCCCCATTTTACAGGTGAGGAAGTTGAGGCAAAGACAGGTTGAGTGACTTGCTTAGGGTCATGCAGGGTGACCCTTGGAGCGGCTTGCCATTTCCTTCTCCTGCTTATTTTGCAGATGAGGAAACTAAGGCAAAGAAGGTTAAGTGACTTGCCCAGGGTCACACAGCTAGTAAATATCTGGGGCTAGATTTTAACTCAAGACTTCCTGACTCCAGGTTTCATACTCTAACTACTGCACCACCTAGCTGCCCAAAGTGTCTAAGGTCATATTTGAATGCAGTCTTCACTGAGCCACCACTTATTTATTTGTTTGTTTTATTTGAGGCAGTTGGGGTTAAATGACTTGCCCAGGATCACACAGCCAGTAAGTGTCTGAAGCTAGGTCCTCTTCACTACAGGGCCAGTGCTCTATCCACTGCACACCCTCGCTACCCCTTAGCTCACTCATTTAAAGAGGCACAGGTTCCAAGAATACAAAGATGATAACTGTACTGTACAGCTCCTTCCTAGGACCACATTGGGAATGCTGTGGTTAGGTCTGGGTACCACGGTTTCAGAAAGACACTGGTAAACTGGAGAGCACTGAGAAGAGAGCAAGCAGAATGGTGCAGGGCTTCCAGCCTATGCCATCATCAGGGTAGTCTGAGGACAGGCTTAGCTTGGACTAGAAGACTAAGACGCAATATACTGCACCTATATTCAAGGACCTGCAGGGCTGCCATTTGCAAAAGGAATTCAGTGTGTTTTGTTCCAGGTGATGGAACTGAGAGGAAGGGAGAGAAATTGCAAAAAAAAACAAACCTTGTTTAGTCTTGACACGAGGACAAACTTGCCGACATTCTGAACTATTTGAAATTGTAACGGGCTGCCTTTGGAGGGAGGGGTGCCCTCCTTACCAGCAGTCTTCAAGCAAAGGCTGCTAGATGACCATGTATGGGGTTTGAGACAGTCATGACTCTCTTTTGAGTGGGGGATGAACTAAAGAGCCACTGAAGTCTCTAACAACCCTAAAATTCAGTGATCCCTTTGACTTCTCATTAAAAATGCTGCTATGGTGCCCTGGAAAAAGCCCTGGATGGAGAATCAGTGAGCTTGGGCTCTGCTACTCCAGCCTACGTGACATTAGCCAGCCCTGCAAGCTCCAGAGGGACGTGTTGAGAAGAGCCTGCCTCCCGTCCACAGAGGCACAGACAGTATGGCAGCTCCAGCGGCAAACAGCATTCCTGGAAGTTCATACATTCTTTGAGCTCTCTCAAAGGAAGGAAAACAATTGGCAAAACTCAGGAAGCCTTCTGATAGAGATGGGGGAGGGAGAGAAACATTGGGATGGTTAGGTGAGGCTTTAGAGAACAGAACCTATGGGAAGAGTCTACAGTTGCAGATGAGAGTTTAGCCCAGGGGTGGGGAAACACAAATATTATCTGAATCCTCTCCCATTCCCTTCCCCCTGATACAACCCCTATAAAGAAAAGAGTGTCCATTGTGAAATTAAGGGATGATTTGTATGCTGGAGGAGAACGATTTTTATTTTTGAGCAATGGGAACATTACGCCTGTTTTGTATTTTTCGTGATTTTTCTTGGGAAAGGGAGTGGGGGAGGAGGATTGGAATAGCTGGTTAGTTAAGAATTCATATAAGCGTGTGAATGGAACTACTCTGAGAGCCCAACAGGAGTAAAATCCAAGGGTTTCTAAGTAACTAAACAAAAAGTTAAAAACAAACAAACAAAAACCCAACTCTTACTGCTCCAGCTTTAAAGGAAATGCTTTTGAGCTATACATGTGTATATACGTGTATATGCATACACACATACATACACATACACATATATACTCACAGGGTCGCGAGGTGGCACCATAGTGCATAGAGCTCAGGGCCTGGAGTCAGGAAGACTCATCTTCCTGAGTTCAAATCTGACCTCAGCCACTTACTAGCTGGGTGACCCTGGGCAAGTCATTTAACCAAATGATCTGGAGGAGATGGCAAACCATTCCAGTATTTTTGCCCTTTCTTTCCCCCCCCCAAAAACAAAACAAAAAAACCCCAAACGGGGTGACAAAAAGTCACAAAAAGTTATAACCAGGTGAGTGGGGGAGGGGAGGAGGCCATGGCAAGCCTCAAAGTAAATGATGGCTATTAGATTGTCTGTCATAAGCACTGTTTACACATCAGTGTAAATCAGACCTGATAATGAGATAGATACAATGAAAAGTCAACTTTTAGGGCCCATGATCCCAGAAAGAAAAAGTGAGGGGTCTTGGACCAGAATCTGGGTTCATCCTCTAAGACTGAGGATTACTAACCATTTTAACAATTTGGGAAAGTGTAAGAAGGCATGGGTGGTTGTGGGGGAGGGGTAGGATAGGGGAAGCACCCAATTGTATCAGAGTATATGAGCGTGATTTTTCTGACTGCATTACACAGCTAAGTATAAAGGCCTTCTGGATTATCTGCTATTCCACACAGTGCTGTTCCATTAGTGCAGTGGTTCTCAAAACTTTTTGGTCTCAGATCAGGACCACTTCACTCTCTTAAAAATTACTGTGGACCTCAAAAGCTTTTGTTTATGTGGTTACATTTATCAGTATTTACTGTACTAGAAATTAAATGGAAATTTAAAAATATTTACTAATTCATTTAAAAATGATAGTAAACCCATTATGTGTTACTGTAAATAAAGTTTTATGAAAAATAACTATATTTTCCAAAAAAAATTAGTGAGAAGTATAATATTGTCTTTTATATTTTTGCAAATCTCTTTAATGTCTGGTTTAATAAAAGATAGCTGACTTTTCTACCTGCTTCTGCATTTAATCTGTTGTGATATATTATTTTAGTTGAACTATTTGAAAAAAATCTGGCCTTACATAGCTATGTAGTTGGGAAATGGAAGAACATTTTAATAGGAAAATTAGTATTAGTTGTCAATTAATTAGTTAATATAGTAATATATTACTACCTATCAGTAATAATATTATAATTAGTTTTAGTATTATTGTAAAAATACTTTTGACATCAAGGACCTTCTGAAATGTTCTCAGGAACCCTCAGGGGTGTTCAAGACCACACTTTGAGAACCACTGATCTCACACTCAACTATGATACATACATGACATGGCCACTGCTCTGTCTCAATATTCCAGGTCTTTCCTAAATATTAAATCCCAAGAACCACCAGTATGGGAGAGCAGACCACCTTGCTGCTCTTCCTATGCCCCCAAGGACTGCCTGCTGCCTCACCTGGGAGACGTTGGATTGCGTCTTCTCGCTCTCCCCATCACCCTCGGTCTTGTCCGTCAGGAGGCCCTGCACCTGGTACTCGAGCACATAGCTGTCAATGAAGCGCTCCAGCTCCTCAATCTCCTGAGAACGGCTGCTCCCTGCCTCGGAGGAGGCTGAAGCTGCTGAGGAGTTCTCCATCACGACTGCTCAGAAGCCCAGAGGGAAGACGCCTGAGGGAGAGCTGGTGGGAAAGGGAGGAGGAGGTGGGGAGGGGGGAGAGGAAGAGAGAAGAGAAAGGAGACAACAGACAAGACAGGCATGAAATTCTTCCCATATTTGTAAGAGGCACCTATACGTACAAGGCACTTTCTACTTTTCAAAGAAATTTTACATCCATTAGCTCATTTGCTCAGAAAGGAGGCATGGCATCATGGAAAGATTACTGGGCATAGTGTTGGGAGACCTAGGCTTGAAAACTGACTCTGACACTTAACTAGATGTGTGACAATGAGCAAGCAACTTTATCTTTGCACAGTAGGATCACAGGTCTACGATTGGCAGGAACCTTGTAGATCAACTTGTCCAATCCCCTTATTTTACAAATGAAGAAAATTAGGTCCCTGGAGGTTAAATGCCTGGACCAAGATTATTCAGAAGAACATAATCAGAAAGACTTGAGCCCAGGTCCTTTGATTCCAGAGGCAGTGGTGGTGTTTTTTTGTTTTGTTTTGTTTTTTCTTTAAATTAATTTTTTAATTAATTTTATTTTTTGTTACATTTTACTTCACATTGGAAGGCCAATATTTGATATAGAAATTTACAGATACCTATGTCTATCTCTATCTGGAACTATGCAATACATACTTCCACATATCAGTTCTTTCTCTGGAGATGGATTGCACTTTTCTTCCTAAGTCCTTTGTGGTTGATTTAAATGATCACACAACACAGACTAGCTCTTAGTCACTTACAGTATTGCTCTTCAAACAATGTTGCTGTTACTGAATACACACTCTCTTGGTTGCACCTGTTTTACTCTGCATTATTTCATGCAAATCTTTCCATGCTTTTCTGAAATCGTCTTGCTCATCATTTTTTACTGAACGGTAGTATTCCATCACAATCACACGCCACAAACTTGTTCAGCCAAACCCCAACTGATGGGTGTCTCTGCAATTTCCAGTTCTTTGCCACCACAAAGAGAGCTGCTATAAAAATTTCAGAACACATAAGTTCTTTTCATTTTTCTCTGATCCTCTTGGGAAACAGACCTAATAATGGTATTGATGTTCTTTACTGTCATATGCTGCTGTTTCTCTGGGCTTTAGTTTTCTAACATAAAATGGAGATATTACTTGCACTATCTCATAGGAGGTAAACATTTTATAAGTCTTAAAGTTCTACAGAAACACGCTATTACTGTTATTAATCAATCCTTGCCAGAGCATTTCAAAGGTAGGAAGAGTATTATTCTTCTTATTTTATGGATGACCTCATTACTGTACTGAAACGCCTCTCTTCAATGACACCAATGACCTACCTGTCAGGCCAGTCTTTCTCAGTCTTCACTTTCCTTGACCATTCTGTAGCATTTAAGAGTGCTGTCAACTCCTTCCTTATGGATACTCTCTCTTCTCTTGGTTACCATGACAGTGCTCTCAGATGAACCCGGACAAGTCATTTAACCAGTCATTGGTCTAGACAACTCTCCAAAACTGTAAGTTGAAGAGTAAATACCAACCTGCATTGGTAAAGGGAGCTCCCCATACCAATGAAAGCAAAGTTCCAGTTTCCATCCCTCTTCTATATTTTGTATATTATTTACAGATGCATTCATTGTCTCCTTCTAATAAAGTACTGAAGAAAGAACCAAATTTGGAATCTGAAGCCCTGGGTTCAGTTCCCAGCTCTGGGACTTTTTCTTTACTTTGTGTATGTTCTGTTTATATATAGAAGCATGGCTTAGTGGATAGAGAGCTGGCCTCAAAGCCAGGAAGACCTAGGTTCAAGTCCTGACTCTGATACATGCTAGTTTTTACAACCCTAGGCAATCACTTAAAACACTCAGTACTCTGGGCAAGTCTCAAAGGATATAGTTGCAGAGATGGTGCTGGCCTGCATTAGTAGAGAGAATTTCTTCACCTCAAAGTCCCTCATACCAATGAAATTGTAGGTCCATTCCCTATCTCTATACTATATTTTATATTTTATATATGCAACATATTATCTCCTCCTGATAAAATATAAACTCCTTGAATAAAATTAAGGGGTGAGAGAGGATTATACTGGGAGAAGGAGAAAGGGAGAGGTAGAAGGGGGTAAATTATGTCACGTGAAATGGACAAGAAAAGGCTTTTACAGTGGAGGGGAAATGGGGGAAGGTGAGAAGAAATGAGTAAATCTTATTCTCATAGGATTTGGCTTAAGGAGGGAATAACATACACACTCAATTGGGTATGGAAATCTATCTTACCCTACAGGAAAATGGGAGGGAAGTGGACAAGAGAGCAGGGGACAATAGAGGGGAGGGCAGATTGGGGGAGGGGGTAATCAGAAGCAAACATTTCTGAGGAGGGACAGGGTCAAAAGAGAGAATAGAATAAATGGGATAGGATGAAGGGAAATAGACTTAGTTTTTCACAACACGACTACTATGGAAGTGTTTCGCATGACTACCTGAACCTGTAACAAGTTGCTTGCCTTTTCAGTGAGGGTGGGTGGGGATGGAGGAAGGGAGAAAATTTGAACCCCAAAGTTTTAAAAACATATGTTAAAAAATTGTTTTCACATGCAAGTGGGAAATAAGAAATACAGGAAATGGGGTTTAGAAATCTATCCTGCCCTACAGGAAAATAGAAGGGGAAGGGGACAAGGGAGGGGGAGATAGAAGAGAGGGCAGATTAGGGGAAGGGGTATTCAGAATGCATGCCATCTTGGGGTGAGGGGAAGGATGAGATGGGGAGAAAATATGGAACTCAAAATCTTGTGGAAGTGAATGTTGAAAACTAAAAATAAATAAATTATATATGTATATATGTGTATATATATAATGTGTATATATATGTGCATATGTATATGTGTGTGTGTGTGTGTGTGTGTGTGTGTGTGTGTGTGTGTGTATAAAAATATAAAAACTCCTGGAGGGCAGAGACTGTTTCATTTCTGTCTTTGTAACCTCTAGTGCCTAGCACTGGGCTTGATTAAATGCTCATTGACTGAGTAACTGATCTTCATCTGGATATCAGTTTGCACCTCAAACTCAGTGGTTAAAAATGAAGTCACCCCCGAAGCTTCAGTTTCTCTACATTGGATCATTTTTCCAGTCATCCAGTCCCCAAACTACGTAGAATCATATTTCTAGAGATGGAAGGAATCTCCGAAGCCTTCCACTTCAATCTCTTCACTTTACAGATGAGAAAACTGAGATTTGGGGAAGTTAACCCATAGTTTTAAATGGATTGCATCTTCCCTCCTTGCTTTCCTCTTTCAACCTCTTTCCCAACTTGGACTGCCCAGAACTCATACAGACTGACCACTTACATGGCTTGGTTGCTGAGACTGGATCCACCAACACCATTCCTTCCAACAAGATAGAGGGCCACCAGATATTAGCACTTGTCCTACTTCTATGCCCTGCAGACCCTGGCCCTGTCATTTGACCTACTGAAATAATGCAAGGACCTCTGGGCCTTGCTATCCACCCTACCTCTAGACATTTATGACTTTAATATAAAAAAAAATTGAGGCCCAAGTAACTTAGTCAAATGCTAAACCCACAAGTTAAAGGCAATGCTAGGACTAGAATACAGGACAAAGATGAGACAAAACACTTAGAATTTGCTGCCTTGAAGGCAAAGTCCTCCCAGTTGTTTCTTTGTATCCCTACTACCTACCACAATGCTCAGAACAGAGCAGGTGTTGAATAAATGCTTTGTGACTAATTGAGAAATGCAGAAGATGGATCCAACCTATTACCCAATTTCACTCCTCAATGTGGAAGGGACATACTCTCCTAAAACGGGATATGGTAAAGGACATGGTAATTTCTGTGCTCTTCAAGAATCCACCAAGTCTAAGGGACCTAGACTGTCTATGGCTAGGACTTTTTTATGCCTTTAGGTGACCAAGAAACTACATCACAAAAAGCCTGGCCAATCAGGTCCTGGGGATAGTTCTATCTTTTTTTTTTTTTTCCAAGAAAGCTAATCTCTAAGGATTAGACCAGGAAGAGGGATCTGGGCTTCTTGCATTTTGTGTGGGGCATGGGGAGGGAAAGAAGCTGCATCAGAGAAACTGGTAAATATTAGTCCTATCACACTAGGGAAACAGCCACCATCCTAATTCTGATTATGATAAGTTAAACCCAACAAAGAAATAACAACATAGACCTCAGACTTCTCAGACACTCTTCATTTTGTTCTGTATTTTTCTAATGCACTTATCATTTCATATTATATATTACATGTCGGTGTTTTATCACCTCACTAGGCCTTGAGGACTGAATCCAAGCCTTATCTAAATCTCCCCAGCTTAGCACACTGACTTGTACAGAGTAAGTGTTTAATAATGTTTGCTGTATTTTATTGGACATCCTGCCAAATAATCACATAATGTCAGAACTGGGAAGGACCTTAGAGTCCATTCAATTAAAAAAAAAAACCACTTCCCCCCTCACCTCTCCCTCTTTCCAGCTCCCCTTTTATGTACTGTCCTTCCCTACTAAAATGTCCTCTATGAGAGTAGGAACTGTCTTGTTTTTTTTCTTTTCTTTTGTATCCACAGTGTTTAACACTGTCTGTCTGTCTATCCATCTATCTATCTATCTATCTATCTATCTATCTATCTATCTATCTATCTATCTATCTATCTATCTATCTATATCTATAACATGAAGAACCTGAAGCCTAGAGAAGAGAAGTAACCAGTCCAGGGTTACAGTCAGGTGGTGACAGGGCCAAGATTAGAACAGGGACAGCTCTGAATCTCGGTCCAGTCTTTGCTCCACCATACCCCTTCTTTTATGAAGTCTCCCCTCCACTGATTCCACAGGATCTCTCCTGTCTCTGAATAGCTAATGCAATTATAACCTGAGCAAGTGTTTAGCATTCAATTGCTATCTAATTGTTTCAAATGTGCACATTTTATTTCCCCAACAAGACTACAAACTCTCCAGGGCAGGAATAATGCCTTATACTTCTTTGCATCCCATGCAGGGGCTAATACAATCCTGGACACACAGTGGGTAGACTGACTGATGGTTAATGACGATGATATCCCAGAGAAGACTGTGAAGTCCTGGAGCACTACCTTCTCTGCAGAAGAGTGAGGGTGACAGCTGATGCCTAGGGCAGCCTATTATTCCTCGAAGACTCATGGAGATCTTATCGAAGATACCTTGGCAGACTTTACAGGTTCTGCCTGAGCACCAGGTTTGCTATCCCCGGAGTGACTCCAGAAGTTTGACACTGAGCAGGTTCCAAGAGGCTCAAATATCTGGTGCTTCTTGTCTTGCCTTGGCCTGGCTCCTTTTGCCTGCTCCCTCCTGCAGGCCTCTGACCTAAGATGAAGTGTTATCTGTACAAAGGCATCTCAGGAAGGCAGCAAGATTTCATTGTGCCGGTGGTAAATCTAGAGGACAGAGTCATGGATCATACAAAGATTTGGAGCTGGAAAAAAAATGAGCAAGTCAACTAGTCCAACCTTCTCTTTCTGTAGATAAGTAAACTGAGGCCCAGAGAAATTAAGTGATTTTACCACAGTCACACAGGTAGGGAATATCAAGAGCTAAGTTCAGGACTTCTGATCATGACAAGGCAGGCAGCTGCCTAGAGCACAACAGGCAGTGGGATATGACATGGAACACTTTATTATTATTACTTCTAATAAGTACATACATCTTTAATATCAGGAAATTCTAAGGAACACTTTTATTATTACTTTTAAAAAATGCACTTATCTTTAATACTAGAAAATTCTAAGAAGTACTTTTATTATTATTTTTAACAAATGCACATCTCATTAATACCAGGAAATTCTACTCTCCAGGGTACATTAGTATTGAGTTTTTCATACATCAGGTCTCATAGGAGACCAGGAGGGTTCAAACCTCCAGCAGAAAGGGGCACAATTTTCAAAACCATCCCTTGGACTTACAATACCTTGAACTGGCTGTGGTCCCAGAGAGACCCCTTCCTCTCCAATATTCAATATTTGTTCTCACAACCAGGGACCTAAAATGAATTTTTAAGGGATCTGAGGAATAACTGAGGCATATCCCTAATGTGATATAAAGTTTTCCCCAGATACTTCACAGGACTCTGAACTCTTAACAACTCTCATTTCAAACTCATCATACAAAAATGCTTTGTTTCTTTTCTCTCCAACTAGAACATAAACTGTTGAGCAGCCACCATATCTTTCACTTTTTCTCTCTCCCCCATGGTGCCTAGCAAAGGTCTGGGTAAACAGGGCACTTTTGGTAAATAGCTGCTGGACAAAGAATGAATGTCAGGGAGAACAAGTAAGCCCTCCCTTCTCTGTCCCTCCACCCACTCCCCAAAGCTATTTCTTGTAGTGCCCTACAGAATCAGTCCAGACTAGAATTCTGACCCAGTTTGGCAGACTGATGCTCTCAGTTTTGGGGTGACTCATCTATAAAACAAGACCATGAGAAGTTCACAGTTCTGTGCTGCTGATTCTCACATCCACTTATCTG